GACCCCTCCATTTGCACACTTAAACATGTACATATAAAATTCTCCATGTGTCTGTTTCTACCTGTGTTTTGCAAACACACATGCTGACACAGTTTCTTTACTCCAGTTTCACCAGAGATCTTGGCAACCTGCCCCCTCCGCACTCATCAGTCCCTTAAGAAGCAGCAAGAATCCTGCTTTCCTTGTCAGCTGTGTCCATTTTGTGTCCCTGCTGTCTCCCACATATATTGTGTTTTTACCCTGTTTCCTACTTCTCTGCTTTCCACTCTTTAGGAAGCTGAGAGCTACCACTGCTTACTCTCTCAGCTCTGTATTTTCTCCTTGTCAGAAAGGGGCGGGGGGGCTGCTCTTTTTTTTTTTTTTTTTTTTTTTTTTTTTTTTAAGTGATTATCCCCGCACCCCACCCCCAGTCAGTGTTGTCAAACTTCTGGATGCTGCTTCTTGCTCTGCACCTCAAGAGGTGGCACCTCCACTCTTAGTTTTCTGTAGTGGCAGAGCGACTGCTGGGAATGTGGCTTCAAAGCCACTAATTGAGTAGTCCTTTGTCTTGTTTTCAAGAGCCTTGGGTGTCCTGTGGGCTCCAGTCTCCGAAAGATGCTGCCTCTCCTTGGTGCTTCCTTTTCTGCCTCTCCATCTCCTTTGCTGTCTCCACTTGGTTTTTCATTCAAGAACAATGTCTGTATTTGTCTCTAACTGTGGGGAAACTTCAGATGCTTTTGTCAAAGCTCAGTGCCTGCTTTACTTTGTCTTAGTTACTCCTGCGTGTGTCATAGTCAGATGGAGAGATTGGCTAAGTCATTCCCATGGCAGACTTCAAAAAGGGAAGGTCCCAGTGGCCTTTAGGCCCTGCAGATGGTGCTTGCATCTCACAAAGCCATGAAGGAGAGCCAGTGTTTTATGCTAGGTTCAGTGGTTTTGTGTATTTTGCCCCCCCTTTCTTAAGTCTACGCTGTCATTTCCTAACACTGTGGATCGACACCATTCCTTTGGGCTTCCCTGACCCTTCTCAGGGTAATATTTGTTTGCTCTTTGGTTTGTTGTTGGTCTTACAGCCTTGACCATTGAAGTTCAGGTGTATCCTCTGGGCAAGGAAGCGTCTTCCTTTAGGGCTCTCAGTTCAGAATCTGACTTGCTGAGAAATGCAGAGAACCAAGTGCTAGCCTAGGCCAGCCCCAGGAGGTCTCTGGGATGTGTTTTTAGGGCAGCTCACCGGCATCCACATAATAGACTGTGCTGTCTTAGTCATTGGGAGCCACTTGGGAGGCAGACCAGTGGAGATCTTATATAAATTTCCCCCTAAATGTTATGAGCAAACACACCTTTGATATAGTAATTCTAAGCTTATCTTTATTTACAGTTTGCTTTTGTCATTGTATTTTCCCAACTCATGTAGGTATCAAAACATACTAGTTCGTGCATATATTAATAGAATGTTAATCTTTATACAATGTGATTTGAGTGCCTGTCAAGTCCCATAGCCCCATATTCCCAGGAAAACAAAGAAAAGACCAAAAACTGAGTTGGTTTGATCTTTAAACAATTGTGGAAATCTTGCTCTTTGGTAACGAAGTCTGATTTTCTTTTTGCAGCTGTTTTGCCTTGTGCAGTGGGGTGGCTGCTCAAAAGCCCCTGGTTGGCTCCTAGAAACGGCTCAAGCGGCTTATGCTTCTTTAGTTAAGGCTATTCAGACTGTACCACTCACTGAACAACATCAAGTTCACGTTACCTCTTTTAATATTTGAAGTGTCTTGTTTTTCTTTCATTTGTCTGTGCACTCCTGCACATGTGACCACCTCTGTCATTAATTTTCTTCTGGTTATTGTGCACCATTTAAAATCTTTCTGTGCAGCCAAGCTGCAGTATTCATAAAAATTGTAGTGCATGTTTTCATTTGTTACTCTATTTCCAAAAAAATTGGAAATATTGCTCAAAGTTACTGAAATATACATGATGTGATGTTGTCTAATGTGCTTAAAGAATACTTTCTAAGTATCAAATCTGTGCCAGCTACCTGAAGTAGAATTGTTCCTGTAAAGGGCTGTAGAGTTGCAAGGGGTGGACTTGCTTCAGGAACTCTGCTACTCTTTCCAGTGGGGAAGGAGGGACTCAGCCTCAGGTTTCAAGCTACCCCGGCTGGGGTCGGATCATTCCTACATTGTACCAAGTGACAAGCTGAACTTAGGAATTCTTTGTAGGGCCAGTTCAGTGAGAAGTCAGTAATTCCAAGCAACTATCGAGTCAAAAAGAGACAAAGCACCCTAGGGTATAGCGGAAGCAGTGCTGCTGACTCACCTGAAATAAAGTGTGTAGGTAACTTAATCTTCCATGTATAATTTAAATGTACATAAACAGTGGATATGCAGGTTAGACAAAGTAAAAAGGTGATTGACGATCAAGCATATTTCGGTTTATAAATGTCCAAGATTATGCCTCTACATTAGAAGACATAAGGCATTCAGACTGGCCACACAAGTAGA